TAGGTGATGTTCATGGCACAGTCAAGTCATGTCCTGAAATGTTTCATCTCCCAGCAAAGAGGTGAGGTACACCCAGTCCCCTTGGGGTAGCATCCATCCATCCATTCATTCATCTGTTGAGTGTCTAGCTATGATTCTCTACCAGGTGGGAGGTAGTGAGTCTAATAAAGTGAAAAGAGGGGAAGCCCTGTGGTTGGTGGTCTGTATTCAAGTCCAAGCCCTACCCTCCACCAATCGTGTGGCCTAAGTTTTGCTATGAGAATTAAATAACATGCTTATATCGCGTATCAGGTGTGTAGTGTAGTAAAAGTTGATTCCTGACTTTCTTGACTTTTCTTCCACTTTCCTGTTAATGGAAGACAAAGGTAGGTTGGACGCACTGATGTTGGGGGCCGACATCCTAGTACTTTGGTCCACAGACAACTGGACCAATCAGGTGGGGGCTCTGCACACAGTGGGCTGAGGTTCTGAGAGACGATATTTCCGGGGGAGAAGCCTGTGCGTGACGGCGAGGAGGGCAGGAGGGGGATCTGGGGTCTGCAGTTGGGATGTGGCCGCAAGGTGGTCTTTCTGAACCCAGACCTGAGAGGCTGATCAGACCCTTCTCTTTAGGGTGCACTGAAATCAGGGGGCGTCTTCCAGGGGTTCTGGTCAGGCCAAGAGGAGAAGGGGCAGGAAGGATACTCAGAGGTGGCCTGTGGGAAAGGGGCAGCACAACAGAGCCAATGTCCAGGGCACAGTGGCCCCTTCTGGGGTCAGGGAAGCCAGCTCCTGCCCTGGGTTACATCTGTTGTGGCCCCTCTTTCCGTCCCCTCCATCCCAAGCCTTCGTACCTCCTGTCACATCCTTCCTGTTCCCCAGGTGTGTGGGGACTGTGACTTTGGCCTGAACCAAATCAGGTGACTTGTCCAGCCTTCCTGCAGGGTCTTTGTGGAAAGGAGAGCCGGCGGGGCCTCCATCGGCCAGGGAACATATGTTTTAACAGAAACTAGATCGTTCGATTTTTTTGTTCACTGTCAAGAAAGGTTATAAATCAACAGGAGCAAACCCCCAAAGGTGACTCGCTCCACAGATAGCATGTTTACTCAATCCCCGGCGCTGTTGCCAAATGGATTTTCGGGAAACCTCACTTTCATCAGGTCCCTCCCTGCTCCAGAACCTACAAGGGCTCTTTCTTCCCCATCTCGTCAAAATTCTCCTGGCGCTTGCCAGGGCTTGGGTAACGTGTCTTCGCCACATCTTCACAGTTTTACTCCTTCCTCACAGTGAGAATCCTGCAGTGCCTTCTGATCCTCCAGAGCCAGGGCTTTTAAACTTTTCTGACCGGTAGCCACAGTGAGACAGACTCACTTAGCCTTACTGTGTGTGATAAATGCTGGTATTTTCTTTTTTGTTCTTTTCTATTTCATTAAAAAAAATGCAGGTCATGACTCACGCAGTTGATTTCATGACAGACTAATGAGTTGTGACCCACAGTTTGAAAAGCAGAGCTGATTTAGCACATAGTAATCGTGTTAGCACGTCCAAGCTTGTACTGTTCACTGCAGGACAGGCCAGTCAATCGAGAGACGAGCTGTTGGGGCAAGGAATAGCGACTTTATTCAGAAAGCCAGCAGACGAGAAGATGGTGGACTCGTGTCCCAAAGAACCATCTTACCCAGGTTTGGACGCTAGTTCCTTTTATAGAACAAAGAAAGGGAGGTGAGGAGGTAAAGGTGATAAGTTGTTAGCAATATTTCCTGGTTCCGGCCAGACTCCAGAGGGGTTGTGTTAATTTCTTTCTTCCTGCAGCCATTCACAGGTAGGCCTGGTCAGGAAGTTTCCTGTGAGCTAAACAAAGGTATTTTAACTTAACACTCAGGCATGGGAGGCAGGGTTCCTGGAGAATGGGCCATTATGTATACTTTAAGCTCTAGGCAACATCCCTTGAGTGATTAATTTGTAGAAAAAGCAATAGAATACAAAAGTTAAAGAAACAGATCCAACATGGAGTCAGATTTGTTCTTCCCTCTTACAATCATAGAGACCCAAGTGAATATCAGGAAATAGCAGAGCTGCTACCGGCTCTTCCAGGACACGCTCATCAACAATTTCATAAGATAAAAGTGACCCGTCTAATCTGACAAGAAGTTGGTCAAAAAAACATTCAGGAGTAACGGCCTCCACAGATTGTTTTTGATTGCACACCCCATCAGTAAAGAATGTTTGCGCATACAACGCTAATCTATGTTTGGTTATTTTTTTAACCTATCAATGTATGATGTGACCACATAAAACATACACTCAAAATATAAATTGTAAAAGGGTGACATAAAGATGAAAGGAACCATATTTTAAAGTGACATGCTAATTGTGATGGCTTCATTCTATCATCAGCAAATATCTGAAGGCGAAATACACAGAACGAGGTTCATGGTTATCAGCAGAGGTTGTAAATCTATTTTCAAACTGTTCTGATAATTTAACATGTTTTTCTGGTTGACTTCTTGTCAGATTTGGAAACCACTGCTTTATAGCACACTGTCTTCCCTCAACGTTGCCCTTCCTTTCCTGACAAAACTAAAAAAGCTCAGTTAGCACCTCCTTTTGCTACCTCAGTCCACCAGAAATCTGGAGGGGGTGGGGGGAGTCCCCTTTGAGACGTCTTTCCCTTGCCCCCCTCACCCATTCATTTTCCACATTCTGGGGATTTCGCTTCTCAGTAGGGGGTCAGCTCTTCCTGGGGTTTCCTTTGATTGCTACAGTTCCCACCACGCTACTTCCTTCCTTCTTCCTCCCAGTTCCTCACGTGCCTTTACATGTGCGATTCCCTCTCCCTGGGATGCCCCCCTCCCTCTTCACCTGCCTGACTCCCGCTCACCCCTCAAGGCCCAGCATAAAGGTCTTCCTCAGAGAGACCTTCTCTGACTACTGCCCAGTATACTTTCTGAGGCACCTTGCACTTTCTTTGAAGGCAGGGACCATGCTTGGTGTGTGTGAGTGTGTGTGTGTGTGTGTGTGTGTGTGTGTGTTTATGTGTGTGTATCTAGCACCTAGGTCCTGTAGTCTCAGTAAGTATCTGATATGCACAACAACCCTATGAGGTAGTTATAGACAGTATCCCCATTTTACAGATGAGGAAATTGAAAGCCAAAAGGGTTAATTGCCTAAGGTCACCTGCTTAATACATGGAGGTACTGGTCTTAGATCCAGGTCTTTCAGATTACAACGTGTACACTCTTACCAAACACCTTGGATTGTTCTTTTGTAACCCACATAGGCTAAGGGCTGATTTTCAGTCCCATCTTCCTTGCTGATACCTGACCAGCCCTCTCTAGTGATTCTCCTTCTCTTGAATTAGCTGGATGTATGCTCAGGGTCTCTGTATAGCACTATTTACCCTGCGTTGTTCTGGATAACACCAACCTTTTCCCACACGATTCCATGTCCCTAAATCTTATCCATGTAAGCTAGGTTGTAAACAAGACTCTGCATTGCCTCATCTTTTGAATTCCATAGCACCTTGGAGAGGACCTGAGCACCCCACATGAGTAAATAATTACTGATTCGTTGATCATTATCGGGAGCTTGGCAAAGATCGCATCTGACTCCCAAGTTAAATCCCGTCTTTGTGCATATCCGCTTCGCGGCCAAGAGCAAGAAGACCGTGCCTCGGATTCAGAGGAGTTTTAACTGTTCCAATTTGCACTTGTTGGCCTTCTTCCTGGTGGATCTCAGTGTAACTTTTGGCTGAGACCCAAGAATTTAAGGGTCTTCAATACCATGAGTAATTTCATGAGTTGCTGATGGCTAATTAGGGGCGATTACATTCAAGAGGCTTGATTTTCTTACTAACCCCCAGAAAGGGCTGGTGGTAACTTTAAAAATCTTCTTTCCCCCTGCAAATGGAATTTTCTGATTCTCCTGACCGTCTTTGCGTAAGTCCTTGTAATTTATCCCCCATCTCCCGTTTCTAGTGAGAAGGAAATTTGCAATCCTGAGAAGAATTTGGAAACCAATGATTTTGGAAAACTCTGGGGTTCAAGCCAGGGATTGAACCCGGGCCACCGCAGTGAAAGCGCCTAGCTCTAACCACGGACCACCAGGGAACTGTGCAGAGCTACTTTTAATTGAGCGTCCTCTGTTCCAGGCACTGGGCTAAGCGTATGACATGTGTCCATTCATTTAATCTTCATAATCTGCCACAGTTCTTTAGGCCATATTTTTTGAACAGTTTTATTGAGATGTAATTCACATACCATACACTTCTCCAATTTAATGTGTACAATTAAACTTTCTTTAGTGTATTCACAGGATTGTGCAATCATCTAAAATCACAATCTAATTTTAGAACATTTTTGTCACCCCAGGAGGAAACCTCAGACCCTCGAATTAGCCCCTCCCCACCCTCCAGACCTTGGTAACCACTAATGTATTTTTTGTCTCTATAGATTTGCCTATTCTGGACATTTCCTGTAAATGGAATCATATAATAAGTGGCCTTTTGCATCTGGCTTCTTTCACTTGTGTAATGTTTTCATGGTTCGTCTGTCTTGTAGCATGTATCCACACATCATTTCTTTTTATGGTTAGGCTGTATTTTTACCCCTACTGTACAGTTGGAGAAACCAAGACACAGAGGTGAAATGACTTTCCTGTGGTCAAGTAGCCTTCAATGTGGATGAAGCAAGATTTCCAACGCACATTTGCCTAATGCCAACTCTGCTCTTAGCTTAGAATCTGAGGTAGTCATACTGATGGGAGTTTATTAAACATCTTCTATGGTTCAGTCACTGTGCTGAGTGTCCTGTAAATTTGTTACCTCATGTTCATACATAATCTGCTTTCATTTGGGCAATCTGGTAACCATAATTGGGCATAACTGGGCAATGGTATTTTTGTCCTAATGTCTTCCATTTGCTCACTTCCGGTTTAATTGGCCAACTTAAGCTGCAGAATCTTAGGCTCTAGAATCTTCCTAAGCAAACGAGGCTAAAAATAGCATTGTTTTTCTTCTGTAGGAGTTGAGTGCCACCCCCATCTGCAGAAAATTGGCAATATCTCTGAGGAGCCCTTGCTTTTCCTGGGATACCCAGCATCATGGTTTCCTGTTTCCTGGAGTCTCTCAGGTAAGTGGAGAACCTTTTAAAAAGAGAACAGGGAAATAAGAAATTTGATATTTGAATTTTACTATATATTTCTTATAATAACTAGCCTTGAGGGCCTGCATCTCACAGATATTTTTTATATGCTGTGTACATATATGTAGTAAATTTGTTATTCACAAAGGCTGCTGAGGCCTGGGGAACTGTGTGCTATGGTGAGAGGTATTTTGGACTGAGATTCAAGTGACTTAGGTTCGATGTTGTGCTCTGCTATTTTTGCTGGGAAACATCTAGGACTCAGATTTTTTTTTTTTTTTTAAATAAAGAGGTCACTGGATTGGTGGGTATTTATCATGGTTGTACAATAGAATCACCTGAAAAACTTTAGAAAATATTGTCCTCTGGCTGTATCCCCACAGACTGTGACTTAATTGATCGAGTGTATTTAGAAGGTGACCTCTCTGGTCCCTTCTGTTCAAAACATCTATGACACACCTGTATGTTTTATTTGATACAGATATCAACCATGCAAAGTAAGTAGAACAAGTAGTATCGTCTCTGTATGCAAATCAGAAAACCAGTGCTTAATTCCTGGTGCTCACTTCCTTCAGGGCAGAGTCAGGGAAAGGGCTTGGTGCTCTAGAATCGAGGCTGTTTTCAAACTTTCCTTAAAATGGTAGACGCCTTTAAAAATTCTTCAGTCAAAATCCTATGTAAAAATCTCAACATACAAATAGCCAACGGCAGCATTTTATTAAGAGAAATTTATTTTAGATGTTTGAGTTTGTAATATTTACACATTATGAGATTAATGAGTCTGTTTGGATAAACATCAAAATTTGAAATCCGATTTATGGATGATGGCTTGTACATCAGTCTCAGCATCTAGTTTATTTTGCGACTGGTTTTAGCTGCATAGTATTAACAAAATCTTGATCCATGCAGGTAAGTAATGGCAATTGGTAACAGTTCTTCAATGCAGCTCATTTTGCAATCTCAGGATACTCTTTAAAGAAATTAATTCAGAATCTAGAAAGGGAAAAGAAGAACTTTTTGTTTCAAAGTTGAGTTGCTTAGGGAGGGTGAGAGGGAGGGAGACACACGAGGGAAGAGATATGGGAACATATGTATATGTATAACTGATTCACTTTGTTATAAAGCAGAAACTAACACACCATTGTAAAGCAATTATACCCCAATAAAGATGTTAAAAAAAAATAATAATCAGCCCATGTTCTTCATTCAAAAAAAAAAAAAAAACAAAATTGAGTCGCTAAGGATATCTTGTAGTTTTTTTTTCCCCCCCTTAACTATATGTTAGTCCCAAATGCTCAGAACTTACACTGGAAAGTAAAACGGTCTGTAATATGTTATTATGACAGTGCCACATGTGATGGCCCAACCAGGGCTAGAGCATTTGCCAGGCAGATGCTCTTAGACCCATGCCTGGCATTTCACTGAGTGTGGTGTGTGTGTGTGTGAGCTTAGTCTGTAACTGCCTGTATAGTTTTACATGAATTGACATGTGCAGGCCTGCAGTCCAAAGACCCATGCAGAGCTATAAGCTTCTTCATCAATGACATAAACAAGTGTGTCAAAAAGAGTCAGAGAAGGCAGGAAAAGCTCCATCCTGAGGCTTCTGCAGAATCCAGCCATGAACAGAGCAGCCCAAGTCTCTTCAGGGTTAGTCTTTGGTATCTAATCTAAATTAGCATGGGTGCATTTTTTTTAGCCATAGTTTAAAACATAATTTAAAAGATATTTCAAGACATAAAATATGTATCCAGTTTGTGGAAGCTGCAACATACTGCTGCAAAACCACAGGGGAATGAGAAATGCAGTTGGACCACTGGGTCACTTTAGGACCGCAGCATATTTGAACAGCAGGACCCAATGGGAGACACAGAAGTGGAGGTCACAGTCATATATTGAATTGGATTGAAAAGAGCAGCAGATAAAGCCTAAGTGTCCCCATGTGGTAAGCAAGTGTAAATCTAGCTGCCATCAGAAAGGCCCCTACAAGTACTGAAGACCCTCAAAATTGTGGCCACCCAGGCTGTACAAGTAGGGCTTCATTTGAGAGAAGTCCCTTTTGCAAAGTTTTTTTTTTTTCTTAATGCTTGGAATTTTAATTGATGCCCCTGCAGTTAATCTCTGTAATGATCTGTGATACGGAGGCCATCTCCCTTCAAGGGAGGCTTGGTGGGCTCACCTCCAAGCTGTGCATTATTTCAGAGAAATTGCCCACAGATTAGAAATTAGCAGGGTGGGAGTTGTTGAAAGCTAGATGTGGCCTTGCTACCCTCCGGGCAGAACTCTGGAAGTCTTGACAGGCCTCCAGGATTATGGTCCTGCTGAAGGGATTGTTTGAACAGAGCTACTCAGCAGGACGTTTCTCCAACAGTCCTGCTGTAAGGACTGGGGAAAGAAAATGTGAGTTATGAGGACGGGAGAGTCTTTGGGAGAGCTCAGCTGAAGATTTCCATCAAGTCTCCTTCTTCATAAGCCAGGTACTCATAAACCATTCTGCATTCTGTTTCTAGGGCCACGTAAATATATTTTAACCCGACAAAAACAAACAAACAAACAAAAACGAGAATATCTTTTGTTTAAATGCCTTTCAAAATGTTCTGGGGTAAAGAGCTATGGTTACTTTAAGAGTGAGAGGTCTTTGATAAAATCGGTAGATGAGAAGCACACAGAGAAACACGAATATTAAGGGCTTTTTAATACTTATCAGGGCAACCAAATACATAAAGATCCATAGGAAAAGCTGGAGGATTTCTCTACCTATAGAGAAAACACCAGAGAAAAATTGGGAGTTAGCTGCCAAGAAAATCCCTGAGAGGAAAAAGAACTTAAGGGGATTCACAGTTCTGATATGCAGAGATTTCGTTTAAAAATCCCTCCCCAGTTCTTGCCAAGCCACAGGGAAACAGAAAGCCAGCCTCCCCGTCATTGAAAGAGATGGAGAAGCCCTGAGTATTAACATAGCAAGAGTGTCTCTGCCCTGCTCAGAATCTGTAGTAATCAAAAGAACCACGGTTAAACCCAGTAGCAGAAGAGACACTAAGATTTTAACTCTAGATGGAGCTGGTTAGCGAGTTGCCATTGAACCTTGGACAAGACTTGGATGCCGTGCAAAACTCAGGGCAGGCGAAATCCGTTTGGACCAAAGGATTGGTCAAGGCTAGATTAAGGTTTGTCACCTGTTACAAGTTAGAGAGGAAAAGGCACTAAGTAATACAGAAGTGTATATATTTCTTAAAGACTTGCTCCAAATTATTCACCTTTTTTTGGGTATGCACAGTTACATCTATGTGTGTTTTTTCAGTGCTTGAGAGGAAGGAAACTCAGTTTTCTCCCTAGAAGCAGTGTAACAAGTGAAGATGGCCACCTACCATGGCCAGCCAACAAAGTCTCTTTAGAGCCAGTCTGCTTGGTCAGGGGCTCTTTCTTTACCTCATGGAGTGCTTTTGTATAGTTGATACAAGTTATCTTTGAGATGAAAACACAGAGGAAAACAAAACTATTGAAAATGCCAAACAAGTGGTTAAAGTTGATTGTGGGGGGGGGGGGGGGGATTCTTATTTTGAATAGTAGTTTTTGAAGAAATGCAGATGTAATTAGAGGGATTATGGGGTTAGATGGTGATTTTTATGGTTCTTACAAAGGAGAGTTCTGGATCATTTTACAGGTTGATGGCCCTAGGTCAAGTGTCTGGTTTTAGTCTTCTGAAAAGTAAGGCTTTTCTTTTCCTTGATACACACAGTAATATTACTGTAATGCCTGTCAGCTACTTCGCTGAGAAATACAACCAGAAGGGATTGAAGAAATGAGAAAGAGAAAGGCGGCTGTTCTTGGGGAACTGAAAAAGATCCTGAATACAAACAACAAGAAGGAAGGGGGTTCAGAAAGTTTACTTGTAAGTGTGAGAAGGAGAATGCCCAAAGTAGTGATAGCTGAAGAATGAAAACTGAGACTCCCCTCGGAGTAGAGAAATATGTGATAATTGGGAAGGGTCATGGGATCAATTAGAGTCCCTATGCCAGTGATCAAGAAATGAGGTGGGGCTTCCCTGGTGGCGCAGTGGTTGAGAGTCCGCCTGCCGATGCAGGGGACACGGGTTTGTGCCCCGGTCCGGGAAGATCCCACATGCTGCGGAGCGGCTGGGCCCGTGAGCCATGGCCACTGAGCCTGTGCGTCTGGAGCCTGTGCTCTGCAGTGGGAGAGGCCACAGCAGTGAGAGGCCCGCATACCGCAAAAAAAAAAAGAAATGGGGTGAAGGAGGAGGAGAAATATGGGCAGGAAGAAAACAGGAAAGAGGAGGGGCAGGAGTGGGAGTGGGAGGGGCAGGAGGGGGAGGGGAGGGGAGGGGAGGGGAGGGGAGGGGAGAGGGGGCAAGAGGAGGAGGGGGAAGAGAATAGGCCAGGCTGGTATCCTAAGTATTGAACTTCAGGTGTCAATAAGGCAGGGCTGAGTTGGTGTAGCCCGCATCTAAACCACTATCCAGGTGATGCTTAATAAATATTTGTTGAATATTGAATGAATAAGTTAATAATTATCCTTCGTGTGAGAGAAAAAATGGAGAAGATTCTTCTTTCCTGATTAGGATCTTCAGTTAACTATAAAAGTAGGTTAAAGCAGAAGATCATACAAATGATACAGACACACACCTTTAACAGTTTATTTTTAACTTAAAACACATGTACGTTCACTCACCAAGTTTTTGATATGGGGGCCAAGGACTTTTCTTTGAGCGTGAACCCCTGATTGTCTTTCTTGCACAAACCACACCCGTAAGCATTATCTGAGGTTTCCATCTGGGTTTCTTTAAAGTGAAATGGGAATCTAAAGACATTTGCAAAGCAATCTGAGTATAGAATGATTCTGGATTTTTATTATTTTTGCCCCTAATCATTTACAGTTGTCTCATCCACACCTAATTTGCCAGTTTTTTTTTTTGTTTTTTTTGGCAACTTGCCTTTATTGAGTCTTTCCAAAGCATTCAGCTTCGTTTGTGC